CGGGGGGTAAAAAAAATATCACAGCCATAAAAGAAAAGGTATTATAATTTGATATACGTATGCGTGTATATGTGTATTTATGGTACATAGAACATATCGAAACGAAGTATGCAATCACACATACCGAGGCCGTTATCGTTATGCGCACGCGCGTCATAATTTTAGAATCGAGGAAACCGAGCTAACGATATCCGCGATATGTCATTTCTATCTTGGACACTCCCTACTAATTCGGTACCGATTTACATTCTCTCTTGTCAGATAAGAATCCAAGTATGCGCCGCTGATCTCTTACAGAATTTCCATGCCGCGAAATTATTTTCGCACGATAAAATATCGCGTTACTGCATTGCAATTTGCTTTCGCAATATATAATATTTATGAGAGTTAAAAAAAAACAATAGCAATCGTCTGGTATTCAATTCCTTTACAGATTAATCCATTTTAACTGTCCAATGAAACGTCTAATTGGAGTAATAATAACTAATTATAAAATAAAATCAGAAGAATTAAATTTAAAATAAATGTAATAAAGTAATACGCTTCTACTTTTCGAGTAACAAATGCAATTGGAGAGATATAGAATTAAATAATTATCCTGGTAAGTATTATATATAATGTTGGGTAGAATTTTTGTTCAGCAACGTCAGCTAGATATAAAATATATACATAAAACATAAGTTACATTTTTTTTTTATTAAGATCTTTGGACATATATGTTAGTAAATCAGTAGGTTAAATTTAAATCCATCGGATAGTTTTCGTCTATTAATAAAAGATTAATTATATGCTATATGTTCTCTTTTAGAGACACGCACTATAATTGCTACTTTCCGGTAAGCGAAATAAAGTATAATGATCAGCTCTCAGTTCCATTGCAAATTATAAGAATCCTGCTATTCGTGACTCATCGTGAGCGATTTTTTTCAAAAAAAATTTTTTATACAAAATAATCCCAACATTTACAGAAATGGAATTTTACATTGAAATAAGTATCTCGTAAACGTTTACGAATTATCATTTCATTATTCTGGTTCCTGATTTCCTTGCTTTCACTGTATGTATCTATATTTCTTGAATCTTAAAATCCTTTCGCTCAAGAATTTTTTAATTTATATATTGTTTTGTTGCACATACAATTACAAATTCTTAAATATTTCGATTTCTTCTAGTGTACGGACTTTTATAACTTTCTCATTTTATAAATCTTTTACTTCACTCAAAAAAATATAGATTCGAAATTGAAATTTCTCCTTTTCTTTTTTGTAGAGTAGCGGGATACGGATCTTAAATTATCTCCAATTGTAATAAGATTTAAAAAAAAGATGTTATCCAAATAATTTTTCTCAATCAATTTTCCAAATTCCAAAAAGTATAACGTATATCTATTAAGAAAAATATATATAATAAAAAAAAAATTATATATATATATATAATAAAAACAAAAGGAAAAAAATGCTCACTATTTATCTCTACTTGCATATGCCGATATATTATTAATTAATTACTCTTGATAAAGGGATTGAAGCCGGGGAGCGATCTCTCGCAGAGAACGCCGTTCACTCTTTCGACTTCGATGTATTCTCTTATTATGCCATACTCGACGATTATAAACATAACGCGCTAACGATTATCCGCTTAACTCACTGACAGCTGACATTAGCGCACGAATTCCCGCGCGCCTTCTCGCGCGCATTGCTTTTGATACTTCCAGTTCTATCCGCGCTCACCTTTCTCATGGGTGATAGGACCGTAACGTGTGTGCATGTATGTATGTATGTATGTATGTATGTATGTATGTATGTATGTATATATGTATGTACATATCGCTTCAAGCGCGAGACACAAACCAAACGCGCTGCCTTTTGCAATACAAAATTTAATTTCTCGTCAAAAAGTCATTATACAATCCCTCCTCTTCTTTCCTCTCGTCTTCTACGTTATTTCATTCTTCTTTTTTATGGAAGAGAATATTCCCGAATATTTACTTTGACATTAAGGGGATGCTGAACTGACTCCGACGAAAATATTCACACATATGTCTACACATACATCTACACATACATAGATACATTTATGTATACATACACTCATACATACATTTCTGTACACACATGATACACATATGAACAAATTTTTGTGATACTCCCCTGTTCGTAATAAGTCTAATTCTAAGCCTAATTCTAAGAACTCAACGTTGCTTCTTTATGTAATCTTCTAGTCTAGCAATATCAGTTTTGTATAGGCCGTAAAAGTTTCAGCAATATATGTATGTAAAGCAAATATTTACGCGACTTGACAGCTTTGGACGCCATTTTAAGGTACCAAATGGTAAAAAAGAATTAAAGATTAAAAATCTAAATTTAAAAATTTTTTCTCGTTCTCATTCATACGAAATTCATATGCTAAATACGTATTAATGTATAAACTTTAATTATGGAAAAAAATTTCCAGTAGTATAATGTTAATAAAAAATGAGAGCAATTAAAAAATTATTGCGTTTTGTCGATAATACAGACAAGTTCAGCATCGCCTTAAAGGGCGCTAATTTCTCATTAATTTTTGAAATTGAGAAATAAAAAATGATACTATATTTGCATCGTTTGCATATAATTTTCTCATGTGATTTACGATGATGGAATTGTGATTGGGTACGTATTTCTGTTTTTAACATCGCATATCGAAAACATGCATGTATGAAATATGTATGAATCGTCCTATACAGAAATTAGAATGCCAGGTATATTACAGTATATTTCCTTGTTTTATGCTATAATTTATTTTCAACGTCAAGCAAACTGAGATCTCTGTATTTCATTAGACGATCTTAGAAATAAAATACGATCAGTATGAGGCCAAACAAGCTGAGATGAATTCTAATATAATCTACATTCCTAGACATAAATTCATCTGTGATTCATCTTCAAGGCATTCTTTATTAGATGTGCTGACCTTAGAAGACAACTTTATATATTTTGCATTTCTATCTTTCTATTTTCTTTCTATCTTTCTCTTTTACTTTTTTTTTCTTTTTTTTTCTTATGACCGATCGTACTATATTTTTATCAAATATTTCGATTGTCTGAAACCGCGCATACACAAGTTGAAACAAGATGCCACGTGGTTTAGAAAATTGGAAAAATTGGGAAATCCGCGTCCCGGCTATTCCGCTGTCGGAAGTTTCACTCATTTGGAACGTGATTTGGAAATTAATTGCAAACTGTGCCGGCGCAGAGTGCTGGATGTGCATGTACACGAGACGAGTGCACGCAGGTGCACTCTGCTCGAGGGAGAGGGGGATAGAGCCAGCGAGACATGGGAGGAGTTCCCTGCGAGTGCTCTCTCCGTCTCGTCGGAGAGACCATTCTCGCGGTGGCAGAGGTGGTCTCTGCTCACCTGAGCGTTTCAGGTGGCAGTCGCCCTGCTGAGTCGTTCAGCGACGGGTTTCTCGCCGGGTGAGCGCCGCGAGCGAGCGAGCGCGATTCGCCGCACTGAGGGAACACAACGGCACAAGACAGCGAGGAATCTCGAGAGAGAGAAATTTGAGATCCGCGAGAGGGAAACTTGAGATCGCAGACTGACTCGAGATGTTGAACGAATTCGCGAGTACTCGCGATGCGAGCCGAGGCTCGCAGAGGCCCGTCCGCTCACCGACGATCTCCCGAATTCTCCTCCGAGGATCGGTGGAGTACCCATCGTATCGTTCCTTTTAAATGCAAGACGGCGTTTGACACTTAGAGCTAATTATCCAATTACGGGGTAATTTCAATAGGATTGTTTTAGCGAAAGATGAAGCTTGATGAAAATTAATTAAGTCATTATTGTGTGCTGTCGAACTGGTTTAATGAGGGATTAAATTGTCAAAATTAGGCCGTGATTTGATCAGAGAAACTTTTTCGATAACGCAGTTAATTTGATTGTAATTATGTATATTTTGCCGATTGAGGCAAACGGACGGATGAAATAATTGACCCTAAACAAGTATTCATGTTAATTTTAATAAAATCAGGTGTTTTCCTAATCCTTACTGAACTTCTTTATCCAGAAATATCGCTCAACCTTCGAGACCTTCGTGAATCACAAAACACTTTATAAAAGACAATGTGTCACATATAATAAGATAACGCGTCACATATAATGAGGTAGGCCAAAGACCGAGATTCTTTTGTCGATTGTGATAATTGATCGCACGTCGATCGGCAGAATCGATTGAGGATTTCAAGGGCGGATGAGCAGCGTGAAAAAAAGTGCGTCAGGCCTCAGGTGATTTTGAGATATTTCTGTTAATTGCGGCGATGAACGAGAAGTCATCTAGGAGAGAAGATCGGCGTTCATTCATAAAAAAAAGGATCGAAGCGATATTGCGTTCCCGAGCAACGTATAAATTTGTCGTAAAACTGACACGTCCGACTGCATTCTGGCGGAATTATCAAGATATGGCGTAATACCGAGCGGCGCGAAGCTACAAAAAAAGTGCTCGGTTAAAGAGCCGAGATCGCGAGAAGAAAACTTCAAGTTTACGATTGCAGAAAACGACGACGGGGAGAGGAAGAAAAGTGCCGTGCGAACGCATATTGGTCAATGAAAGCGTCTTATTAAAGAGGGCTCAATGTAGGATGGGGACAAAACGACGTGTGCTGATCGAGAACTGAACGTTCGTGAAACGCGAACAATGTCGTTTCTATGTAGGGACGACAGTGTAATTTATTTAACGAAAGTAGAGACTAGTTTCCACGTTGAATTTTACAGAGCTCTCTCTCCGATGAAAAAACGAACAATTTTTAAAGCGTCTACATACCTCGTATTTCATTTTGATGAGTACATTACAAAAATATAGAGACGAAAATATAAATCAATTTAAATGTTATTACCTTTTAATTAAAATATGTACTAAAAATTCGCCTTCAACTTTACTGGAATATAATAAAATACAAGTTTTGTTTATGTAAAACAAAAATGTAAAAGCAAAAATTTGTTTATGTAAAGAGAAATTACAACAGAGCGTACAAAAAAGTGTAGGAAACCCGAGTTTCTGCGAGCTTGACTTTGGAGAAGGTTCATTCGATTTTAATGATCAGATAAAGGTCGGCGACCAGAAACGAGATTAATTTATGGACATAAAATTAAGCAGGATAATTTACTGAGACTAATCCGATTGGCCCCAACCTGCGAGCTGATTTTAACGGTGAATTAAGAGCGAGATCGGGCAAAAAATATGCGATCAGACATAAATCTTGCGACGACGACATGTGACAGCGGATACCAACACCGTTATCGCTGATAAACATCAATAATTATATAGTCGTAAGTCAGCACCATACAACAGAGTCAACAAATGACATTTATAAACGTGAACGATCGATGCGTCAACAAGATTTCGCGGGCGAATCGTATCGGGAAAAGATTCGCAAAACAAGCAAGATTCCGTTGCAAGGAAATGCATTGAAATTATAGTCATTAATGACGCTGTCCGCTGCGAATATTTTATATTGCGGCGAAAAACAGTGTGATGATACGTATAACGCTTAAGCTCGACAGCAAGAGAAAGACAAGAGATTTTCACTCAAATTTACGTGAGGGAAGAGCAGAAGAAGATTAGAGGATTTCAAGAGTTCTGCAAATGTTCTTAGAGAATAGTTTTATGTGAAAGCTAATGGTGGATATGGAATGGGCCACGACAATTTGACTGAAGAGCGGTCGTTAAGAAACTTTCAAAGTTTTGAGCAAAGACATCTCCGAGTGCCGCATGCAAATAAAAATTAGCTAAGGACTTTCAGGGGGTCCGGGGGACCCTGTGGTATTTCCGTGAGTGTCTCGAGCGATCATCGATCGTAAACAAGTGGAGCATGATGGGAGAAGTGATCCGCGTTTCTGGGAGAGCACCGGACGTCGGTGACATCCTGAAGGAGGCCATGCTGTCGCAGAGGTTCGCCGATGTGGCCTTGTGCTGTCCAGGAGGGCAGCGATTCCTCGCGCATCGCCTGGTTCTGTCAGCAGCCAGCCCTTATCTTCAAGTGAGTATAAAAGATACTCTACCACGATTAATTAATCTAATTAGCCGATATAGTAATTATAAATAATTAATAATACTGATGATAAGTAAATCACAGGCGGAAATGAAGCGAGTCAACTTTTTTCAAGTCAATTAAAAAGAATTACGTATAATATCCTTTCTTTTAATAATCCTTATTGAAATAATAATGGCAAAAAATAAAATTGACTGAAAAGTTAAATAAAATCTGGGCAATGTAGTTATAGTTTATATCCGCGTTCGCCGATTTCCCCCCCCCCTTTTTTTATTTATTCATTTGATAATATTGATTACATATGTAACATAATGATATGTAAATTGATAATTAAAGCACCGAAAAAAATCTGTATTGATATTCATATAATTAACATTCTCAGCTTAACATTTGAAATAAGTATCTTAAAATAATCCAGAGTTAACTGTAAGAGATAATTATATCGTCTTGGATTCGTATGACTTATGGAAAGTTTCACAACGTGACATTTCTCAGGTGCGTTCATCGCGTTTGAGAGAAGCTATATCCTATATTACTGTTACTTGTTACTATTCCTCGCCCATAATGAGCGGTATAATAAAAGAAAATGCGGCTCACGTTGCCGTTTAATTAGCGGTTCAAGTCAGCGGATAACAGACAGAGTTCCTCTATGGCCGCCGGTTTGTCACACTTCGATCCCGTAAAAACCACTTCGTCGCGATACAAGCCGATTGTATGCGCGCTCTCTGACGCGAGCGTTTAATGCCGCCGAATTATGTCACACGGAAATAAAGATAATGCGATATCGAGTGCGCAATTCGCGCACTCGAGGTTTCTCGAGGCTGCCTCGGCGCTGACACTGGTTACGATGCGCGCGTCGCGCTCTCTTGCGAACTCACCGGGAGAGTTGCGCGATCGCACAAACTGTTGCGCCACTAGATTGGAACATGAGCAGGAGGCTCAAAATTAACGAGACAGGTGCGACTTGACTTTTATAATGTATTAACGTGCAACAGGATTGTATCCTTGATGCTTCTTCGAGAATCGAGATTATTACTCAACAGTTAGCTATTCTACATCGACGAAAAGTCAAACCTACCTTGACTAACTTACTTACTAGTTGAGGAAAATTCGCGATTTATATAATGAAAAATTAATTAATGTTTTTTTTTTTTTTTTGAGAAATTAAAATCGCAAAAATTAAAGTTGGTCCTCGTATCTCCCTTGAATTCTCTTCTCTTTCTCAAATTTTCCCTTAAAGTTCTAAGTGCCATTGATTGATTTTGATGATTATCGAGTAATTATCAGTCGTTACATAGTCTTTTCATAGTTGACCTTTTGCGCGTCTAAATTATTATTTATTTTATTTTACGCTTAATTATATTTGTTTGATTTTAATACAAATGAAAATGATTTGAAATTTAAAGGAATAAAGTTGTTTATCCGAACATTTTTAAAGCTTTGCTGCTTCAGATACTTTTTAACTTTCAACGTCAGTGGATTCCGTTATTATCGAGTAATTATTAGTCGTTATATATCTTTTTATATCCAATCTCCCGCGTGTTTAAACTTACTTTATTTTACGCTTACGTTGTTTTTATCACATAAAACGCTTAAGTGCAGTTTTACGTGAGTAGAATCTTGTTGCGAAAGGAAAACCTAGGAAATAAATCCCGACGCACTCCAGCATACAACGTAATTACAAAGTAATGTCGCGTCTGCGACGTGAAAATTGTCAATTATGCGTTGCTGTGCGATTCGTGCCACGAATTGCGCTTTCTAAACTCTAACAAGCAGAGTGCCGAAAAGAAAAATTTTCCCTGCAAATGGAAATTCATTGAGCGAGTTCAGTCCATTCACGTCTTATTCACGTCTCATCTTATTCCAAAAGAATTCTTCATTTTCCCGCCTAAGACACTTAATCACGAAATATAAACGTAATATCGTTCGGGGTTCCATGTTATTTACAATATTTCGTGCGATGATCTTTATAATTTACAGCGACTGCCTTGGAGACAATTAAAAAGCGTTGCGATCGAAATGCGTTGGAAAAGCAATCGCTCTTTCGCGTCTCGCGTGTCAGAGTGGGGGGAAAAAAAAAAAAGAAAAGGAAGAAAACGACATCCGCAAAAGGTTCGCTCTCTTGTCGCAACAAATATGGCTACCCTTGACTTCGACGCTGGCAGATACTCAGATCTTTGATTCCGTAAAGCCCGCACGACGCATTTCTACTAGGCAACCCTTTTTGCGGTTCTCGGAACGTTCGCGCGCAATGCATCTTTCCGGTACTGCCATTCGCGGATTCTCAAGGCATCCCGGCATCTCGATTTATTACCGTTTGACCCAGTACCTGTTTACTCAACGCGAGATTCCCAGTTTTTGTCGCGCTCCTGCGTGCGTCGCGTGGCGTAAAAAGAAAGAAAATAACGCGTAGCTCCCGAGCTCGTTATTTTCTTACAAAAAAAAAAAAAAACAAAAACGACAGAAAAAATAATAACGATTAAAAATATCTTAACGTTCTTTTATTAAAGTTTTTTTCAACTATGCAAATATTCAAATGCGGCATAATTTTAATTATGTTATTTTAATCAGAACTATTATTGACAAGAAGAATATCTTTTGAGTCATTTTTATATTAGAAATATTAGAAAGATATTAAAAAAAATAAAAGATGTTTTATCGCATCCTCTCTTTCTCTCATACATCTTATTGATTTAATTGTATTCTATTTTTTTATTAAAATGTTTATGTATACAACAATTTTAAAGATGTATAGTTCCCCGATGCATTCGACTTATTATGAAACGCAAAATATTTTTCTTCTTAACTAACAAGAACAAAATGTTTGAAGAAAAAGATTGGAATATGAACTTTGATAGTTTTAAAAGGATTAGCATATGCATTTTTAAGCAAAAATGCATATGCTAATCCTTTTCCGGTTTGTTCATCGCTTCAAGCTATTTATTCACGTACGTTTCGCTAATTAGTCAGTTAATGAGAATCATAAAGGATTGATATCCGGTTTTATAGCAATTTAATCTAATAATATTTCTGTGCAGTAAACGGATTCATTACAGCAAAAATATGTAAAAATGGGAAGAATAAAAAAATACGAGTTGTTAAATGTTTGTGATTTCATCACAATCTCATAATGAATTTTTTGCAAAATAAATCATACGATTTCGAAATAGCGTCATCTGACAAATTCGTGTTATTCTAATTAGCACGAATGACTTAATTAATGAGCGATATAATCGAGTACGCGTGCATATGTATAAATATATATACATATACTTCTTTCATATCTAAAACTTAAGTATCAAAGAATTAAGAAATTAAATAATTTTAACATAAATTACATTAATTTGATAAAAACAGAGAGAGAGAGAGAGAGAGAGAGAGAGAGAGAGAGAGAGAGAGAGAGAGAGAGAGAGAGAGAGAGAGAGAGAGAGAGAGAGAGAGAGAGAGAGAGAAAAAAAAAGAGAGAGAGAGAGAGATTATAAAATCATAAGGAACATGTTAAATTGAACAGATTCATCATTACGAAACATATTGCGCGATTTGTGGACATGATTGCGCTACTCGCTTTTTATCTCTGGCGTTTTTTTTCATCTTGATTGAGAAGCGTGGAAAATCACACGTGTTTTAATTAGTGCGACTGATATAATTCGCGAGGCGAGCTAATTCTCTTGCTTCTCGCATACGAAGCAAGTGAGAAATATTATTATAATGAAGCACATTCAATACATTGTATTCTTAAATGCAAGAGAATTCTCTGAAACTGTGACGAATTGTGATATTATGATACGTCTCACTGGACCTGAAGGAGAACCTCTCAAACCGGTTTATGATCACAATCATTTCTTTGCGATTTTAGTTGTCCCTTTGGATTACTAACACAGAACGTTATATGGAAACTTCTTTTTTTTTACGTTGAATTTAGTTACGCTGCCGTGAAACTGCCGATATCCAATAAAAGAAGATTACGTTCGGACCTCAAATCTGCTACAATATGTAATACGTGAATTAATGCACGTATGCATATGCATTTGGCCTGTTTCCTTCGTGACATTTTATGGCCTTTCGCTTAACGATCTTATAAATATTTTTGAACATGGTTGATTATGGTTGTACTATTTTTCTTTTTCATTCATTAATATCGATTCGATCAAATATTGATCGAATATCTTAATTTTTTGTAGACAATTAAAAAAATGTTTGGAATATAATCGATATCTTTATACTTGAAAGATATATAATAATAATAACATTGATACTTAGAATATATCATAGATATATCAAGATATATATAATATTGAATAGAAATTTAAAATACATTATTAAAGTTCAAGGCCCGATTTTTCATTTTTTGGTTAATTTGCGATTTAGATTTAAAACTGACTAATATAAAAATTATGTTTTTTCTATCTACGCTTAGTGATTAATTATAGATAGAAAAAACGTAATTATTATATTATCATATTAGATCAAGTTTAAACCACCAATTAACAGAAAATGAGAAATCGAGTAGTTTATGCGTGTTCTAACACGCATAAATTAAGAAAATTAAGAAAAAAATTATTTATTTAATAATATATTCAATTTAATGCAACAGATTAAGAACTTATATAAAACTATTGAAAGAGTGATTAGTAGAAATAATTAAACATACTGTAATTTTGATATATAATTATTTAGGAAATAGTAGTCTCGTGCAAACGTAAAGCTTAAGAATTCACGGATTGTTTTTATAATAAATTTCAAATGGTCAGCGATGAAAAGTTATAACCTTTTAATATGAATGGATTATATTCTTTTTCTAAGTGTTGCAATTTTGTGGAGAATTTAAATGGATTATCTGTCATTTATTTCCAAAGAAGCTTTCGACTTTCCGTCATAATAAACAGGATATTATGTGTTTCATGACTCTTCAGATTATATCGTTGTTTTATGAAAGCTATTTAAAAGATATCAAATGACATTTTAGATAGATTTCTTAGATTAAAAAG